AGAAATTGCCATCTACAAATAGTGGAAGACACAACTATCTATCATTAAACATTGCGCCTAGGAGCGTAGATGCTCAAACAAGCACTTAGAAGAGACATGCACTTCAAGTACAGCTTCATTGATAAGTTTCAGTACTTTTTTTAGACTCATTATATTCTTGAAGAAGTTGCAGAATTCCAAAGATGAGAAAGCGAAACATAACGCGACATGGAAATGCAGAGCAATGCCACAGCCAATAAAGATGGCCTACTTCATCCAGTACTCAATCTCTATAGAGGAGCAACTCAACACACTTATTCGTGATCCAGAATAAGCCTGTTGCACGAAAGGCACGACAGCACATTGCCTACTAAGAATTAAGTCGGGAGTGAAGATAGCACAAGACACAAGAGTATGAAAATAAACAAAAGCATTTGTGTGCGTTTTTGTAAGCCGGAAAAGCGACATTTATAAACGCAGCATTGTCCATTTCCAGCTAAGGTATATTACTTAATCTTTGATTTAATATTTTGTCAATGTCTTTGCATTGTTCATGATAAAGTGCAATTTTTTTTTTGGTAGAACAAAAAATGTTGCCACGTGGAGCGTCGAGAAAGTTAACAGTCATCGCCAAAACAACGAAGTTTACGGAGGCCAAAAACAAAGCCATGCTGTTTTCGGGTTGATGTTCACAATTTGATTTATTCCACTATTTCCCTTAAGATTTATGTATGCTATAGGGATGAATAATGTGGCTTGATGGAGATTAATCAATGCTATGGATGATAATTGTGACATTTAATTTTTTCTCCCCCAGGAACAATGAGCGAACAACAACAGATATTAAAGACTGCGACGGTACAAAACTGCAGCCAATTAGTAGGGTACTAAAACTTGAATAACGTGGGTACCTAAACGTAATATCTTAAGATGGGTACAAAGCTTGATTAAGTGGCGGTAAAAAAACTTGCTATAAGTAGGGTTACAATAGCTTGATTAATGGGTACAATCATTTGAATCCAGCCAGCCAAAGAGCCGTACAAAAAGGCGGTGCCTAAGTATAAGTCACAAAACGTGTAATAAATGGCGTACAAAACTTTGAATAATTCGTGTATAAAATTTGCCAGCAGAATAATGAGGTAACAAACGAAAACATGGTTACAGTAGCGCCGTACCAAAACTTAGAATAAATGGGTACCAAAAACTTGAATTAAGTGGTTACAAAACATGATTAAGTGTGTACTAAAGTTTTTACAAGTAGGTACAACGGCACTTCGAATTAATATGGCGTAAAAACGTTGAATAAATGGTACAAAACTATGAAAAACGTGTGTACCAAAATTTCTTTGCGCTTCCAGTATAATGAGGTCACAAAACATGGCTTAAAGTGGGTACAAAACTAATAAATGGGTACCCATACTTGATTAAGTGCGGAATACCAAACTTGATTTAAGCATGGGTATAAAAAGGTTTTTACAAAGTACGGCTAACAAGGCTTGATTAAGTGCGTTACACATATTTAAGCCAACGTAATTTAGCAACTAACTCCGTATGTTCTAGAACTAACAGAGGGACAGCTCATAGCAACTAACAAGGAGCTGAGTAAGGGGATATCCAATAGACATACATTAACAACACTTGTGCTTAGAAATAACGCCAGCACGAATTACAAACTAACAGGAGCAATGGGCTTTGAACTAACAGGAGAGCGCCACAATCTAGAAACTAACTATGGAGTGAGGCTAGGGATAACAATGGCCATCTCGCAGTACACTTGCCCTGCCTAAAAATAAACGTGGCCACAGAAGAGAAACTAACTCGAGATGTGCTTGAACTACAGCGAAGCACATATAGAACTAACAATTGACTGCAGATAGCGCCTAACATGCTGGCCACAGAAAACAAACACTTGTGCTAGAAATAACGCCAACTTGAAGTATGAACTAACTCGAATGTTCCAAACTAACAGTTATGGACGAACGACAAACTATAGACAACGTGTATGAAAATGGCGTCACAAAACTTTGAATAAATGTGCCTACAAAAATTTCATTCCAGAAAATAATTGAGGGCTACAAACACCATGGCTTTAAGTGGGTCACAAACTTGGACATAAATGGGTACAAAACTAAGATAATGTGTGCAAACAAAATTTATTACAAGTAGCGCTACAAGGCATTGATTAATTGAGCGCTACAAAACGTGTATTAAAATGCCGTAATAAACGGTGCCTTAAGTACGGGCTACAAAACGTTCATAATGGCTACAAAACTTGAAATAAGTGTGTACATAAATTTCTGATCCAGGAATAATGCAGGTACAAAACATGGCGTTAAGGTTGATACAAAACTGAATAAAATGAGACGTACCAAACTGATTTAACGTGGCGTACAAAACTGATTAAGTATGTACAAAAAGTTTTTAACACAGTAGCCGTACAAGCGCCTTGATTAATTGGGCGGACAAAACGTCGTACTAAATGTGGTACAAAAACTATGAAAAAAGTAGTCGCTGCCTACAAAATTTTGTATTCCCAGTTTAATAATGAGCGCCCTACAAAAACATGCGTTAAGTGGGTACAAAACTTGAATAAAGGGCCTACCAAACTTGATTAAGTGGGGTACCAAACATTGATTACAGTGGGCTATAAAAGTTTTTACAAGTAGGTACAAGCTGATTAAGTGGTAACAATATTTAAGACAACGTATAGAACTAACTCTTGTATGGTTCATAGAAGCTAACAGCGAGGACAGCTAGAAACTAAAACAAGGAGGTGCAGCTAGCCGATATTCAGGACATAAACAGAACAAACACTCTGGCGCTTAGCACAAATAAGTGCGCCAAGCACGAATTAGAACATACAGCGCAGATACGACGCTTTGAAACTTAACAGGAGGCATCTAAACTAACTAAGGAAGTGAGCTAGCGGCAATAACATGGCCCATTCTCCCCCAAGAGTACAAACACTGGTTATCTAAAAATAAGTAGCGCCGAAGTAGAAACTAACTCAGCAGATGCTGCATTGCAAACTAACAAGGGAAGACATTATAGAACTAACAAATGACTGAAGATAGGCCTAACATGAGGCCACAGAACACAACACTTGTGCTAGAAATAACCCCGCCAACTTGCAAGCTTAGCAACTAACTCGATATGTTACTATAACTAACAGTAGCGACAGACTAGAACTAACTCGCATTTGCTCAAAACTTATATTTATCATTACCTCACCATTGGAATATAATACTCTTAAGCTTTTAATATAAAAAGCTCTTGAAATTGGCATTCAATTAACACTTTGACAAGATATATCTTTGCTTGTCAATTGCTTTCATTCGCTATCATGGATTTGATTTCAGATACCTATTGCTTGTGAATTCCTCTTGTTTCACATTATGGGAGTTTACTGGCATATAGCACGCTGCAGTTGTCTTGACTGGTTTTTAATCACAGAAGTTGTACCTATATGCCATCGGCAGGGCATTTGCCTGCAATCATTTTTCATACTCAATCTGTCAGATTTGTATATTTAACTCAGGACTTTTTACACCAAACGAGGTCCCTCGCATTCCTTCTCAAACTTTTTCATTAACATTTCTCAAACAGCAGATTACAATGTTGTTATTGACAACCAAACGCAGAGAAATACTAAATCATTCCCTAAAAACAACAATACATTCTTCAAGTAAACACTGTTTGACGTTTGGCAAGCTTTAATTACTCTTTCGCAAGTGCTTGGTTCCACATTTCTTATAACTTGGGAAACTGATGCAGGAGAGCGGACATTCAAAATTTAACCTTAGCGCTGGTTGTATCATGCATGCTCTTCTGCCCACCTGCAAATACTGGCATTGCTATTTGCATCTCTCTCTCTTT